AGAAGTTTGGAACTCTTGTTCCAAGCTAGTGGCTAGAAGGGCATAGTTGATATTAGAGGATTTAAAAAAGATTCCAACCAACATGAGATGTATCGAAGCAAGGCTTTGATTGTGTAGGAAACCTTCCCTACCCTGTCCCCTTAGGTGGTAGAGCCTTTTGCTCCTAAAGGCTGAGGTTTGTGTCTGTCTGCAGTACTGATTATTGGTTTCACACAGAACAGTTTTGTTTCAAAACTGTAGTCCAAAGCTGCCCTGCTACCCTTAACCAACCACCTCAAACATACATGCCTCCAGGGCCTTGTGAGGTAATGGAAAAAGAAGACTGGGGCTTCTGAGTCTGCCTTTGTTGTGGGACCTGGAAGGAGTTCCATGCAGGATCTGTAAAATGTGGTGATTGGACCAGACAGCCTTATAACATGATTTAGATCTAACATTCTGCATCTACATGGTCACACAAGGAGTCAGGAAAGTGGGCAATCTTTTTGGAAAAAATTGGGCCTTCATGTCCGACAAACTGCATTTGGATGTTCTGTGATCCTCAGCATCTAAAAGTGAGACAGAACTTTAAAATTTCATATTAACTCAAATTAAAACTTTAAAATATCCATTATTATGTTCTTAAAAAATAATAAAACACTCGGTGAAGGCATAAATCAGATTATTTTATAAAATTACCAAATGCCACACTGATGAATGCTGTTCCCTTTGAAATTTTTCTAATGTCTAAAGGGGATTATTGGGTTTTATAATTGGTTAAAAAGAAAAACCACTCATGAAAAAGAAATGCACAGTCTGATCTATGTTCTACCCTCATTCATAATAAAACTCAATAATAGCTAACATTTATTGAATTCTGTTATGTGCCCTAAGCACTGTGCAAAGTGCTTTGCATGCAGTACCATTTATTATACACCATAAATTGGTCTTTAATAGCAGGAAATGTTTTAGGAGGACAATTAGGTGTCAGAGCTTGGATGTTCTTCTCTGCCTGAGGTCTTCCGTGTCCTGAAGCCAGCTTTTCATGCTTACTCTGATACACAACTGCACAGAGAGAAGAGGAATTGTGCAAAGACTCCCTGATTTTTAATACAAAGGGATAGTTTGTAGATTTTGACCTTTGCCCAGGTTTCTGACCTCTTACCTAGATATCACAAATTGGCCACCCACAGTCATATTTTGCTTGGTTCACATAGTGTTTTAGCAAAAAGAGGAATTTAAGTTTTGGTCATTGTTTATAAACCAGGAGAAATAGCACAAAAACCTGGACTTCTGGCTCCTCTTGAAAAACCTGAAAGCCACATTGTCTGGGCCCCCCTTGGCAGTCGTCTGCTGAATTGGGGACATTGCTCCTGCTGGACAGACTCCTGTGTGTTCAGTTCACAGTCCATGTGAGTCACACTGTCCTCACTCATGTGTGCTACCCAGCCTTTGGACACACTTCAGTTTGCATCCTCTACTCCATGCTGAGTTTTTTTCTTGGAGTTTGATATTAATGTTAGATTTAAGATAATTTAAGCCCTAGCCCAGTGGTCGGCAAACTGCGGCTTGCAAGCCACATGCGGTTCTTTGGCCCCTTGAGTGTGGCTCTTCCACAAAATACCACGTGCGGGCGCGCACGTACAGTGCGATTGAAACTTCGTGGCCCATGCGCAGAAGTCGGTATTTTGTGGAAGAGCCACACTCAAGGGGCCAAAGAGCCGTATGTGGCTCGCAGGCCGCAGTTTGCCAACCACTGCCCTAGCCGGTTTGGCTCAGTGGATAGAGTGTTGGCCTGTGGACAGAAGGGTCCTGAGTTCGATGCCAGTCAAGGGCACATGCCTGAGTTGCGGGCTCAATCCCCAGTTGGGGCTTGCAGAAGGCAGCCGATCAATGATTCTCATCATTGATGTTTCTATATCTCTCTTCCTCTCCTTTCCTCTCTGAAATAAAAATATTGTTTTTAAAAAGATAATTTTAAAAAACAATGTTTAGACTTTTAAGTAGTTGATTTACTATCTTTAAATAAAATCAAAGCAAAGGAAGACTAGCTAGAGTTAAAGGTTTGGTGGTTAGTATGAAAATGCTTGAGAGGTGTCCTTGGTATTAAATTCCAGGATAAAAATCACAGCCTAGATGCTTCTTTCCTTCCTACCCTTCCCCTTTCTTTTTTCATCCTTAGACCCCTTCTGCTATTTTGAGGAAGTTGGAAGCTGCGACCATTTTTTTCCACCATTGGCAGCTGAGTGTGACTGTATTTTTATACCATGTTCAGTTATTTCCATGAACATTTTTTTTTAACCCTCACCTGAGGATATTTTTTCCATTGATTTTTATTTTTATTTTTTTTAGAGAGAGAGAGAGAAACATTGATGTGAGAGAGACACATTGATTGATTGCCTCCCCCACATGCCCTGACTGGGGCTGGGAATTGAGCCTGCAGCCGAGGTACGTTCCCTTAACTGGGAATCGAACTCATGACCATTAGGTCCATGGGCCAACACTCCAGCCACTGGCCAAACCGGCCAGGCTGAACTATTTTTGATGACCAGCTTGGAAATTAAATTGAGTGGTCCCTATGGAAATTGATAAAAAGGAATGACATATGCTTGCACTGAGAAATCTAATTAGTAGTGTTTTTAATGACTTGCTGTGTGATTAGGAATGATACTGTTTATCATCTGTCTCAGCTCATGATTAGATAACTTTTCTACCTTACCTTTTCTGTCAAGGGGTGAAATAAATGATAGAAATAAAATAAAGATATACGTTACAAAGAACATGTGTTGTTAAAAGTCTTTATTGCTATTTAGCAATAGAAATGCATATTATGTTGTAGGACATGCTTTTTCTTTGATCTTTCTTGAACATATATTATTTCATAAGGGTATGTTGTATATGACAAATTAGAACAAGCAATAAATAGTTAAGGAAGATTATTGATCATTATAAAACAATCAAGGTGTTTGTTCCAAGTTTGTACCTTCCTCCCAAAAGCTGAATCTCAAAAGGACAAAACCAGCTTAGTGTTCTAGCATTCCTGAACCATGTGACATGATGGTATAGCCACTTTATATTTTTTTGTATATGTGAAATTAAAATCTAACTGAAGACCAACTACTCCATGAAATGAAACTTTTCATCTGTCCTTCGTTTCCTTTTCTATCCTAGATTATAAGCTCCTTGCAGGCAGAGTCCATTCAGTTACTCAACAGATATATGAGCAGCTACTAGGGGCCAGGCTCTGTGCTAGATAGTGAGGATAAGTGATGAACAAGATTTGGTCCTTGTCCTTAAGAACCTTAATACTTAACTAGAGGCCTGGTGCACCAATTTGTGCATGGGTGGGGTTTGGTCGTCCCGCCCTGATGGGGGCCCATCAGGCGAGCCAACGGGGGGGAGGGGCCGCAGGCGATTGGCCGGCTGACCTCAGCCACAATCAGGGGTGGGGCAGGCTGAGGGAAGGGGTGATCAGGCCTGGATCTGGCCAGTTGGCTGCCGCAGTGTGCGTCATAGCCACTGATTGTTCTGGTCATTCCGCTTTTCCGGTCGTTGGGCTTATATATGTATATATCGATAGTCCAGTCAGCAAACGGGCTGAATAGAGACAATCCCAGTTCAGAGTGTTAAGAGCACTCATAGCCCTAGGTTCCAGGTATTGTGGGGACACTCAGGAAGAAGTAGCTTATTGGGATTGGGAGCAGGAAAAACAGACGGAGGACTGATTAGGTAAGGATAGTCTATAAAGTAGCATCTAAGTGAAGATTTCAAGGGCAAGTAGGTGGAAGCTCCATATGTTCTCCACATCCCTAATCTGGGGCTTGTTTTTTGTCCTCTGTTCATATAAAATGTTTTTTTTTCCTTAACCTGAGAAAACATAAGAGCAAATATAATATTTTTCCCCCCCCTGGGGTTTAAATCCCCCCCCCCCCCCATTTTTTCCCCCCCCCCCCCCCCCCCAAATTAAAAAGGGGGTTTTTTTTTTTTTTTTTTTTTTTCCTTTTTTTTTTTCCCTCCCTCCTACTACTCTTCTCTCATACACCACACACCCCTAGAAGCCCTGGTCCAAAAATTTTCATCGGGGGGGGGGGGGGGGCGGTCCCTCAGCCCGGTCTGTATCCTCTTGCAGTCTGGGACTGCTCGCTCCTTACCTCCTGCCTGCAGCAGAGGCGGCCTGCCACCACTGCTACGCTCACCAGCCATGAGCCCGACTTCTGGCTGAGCAGCGCTCCCCCTGTGGGAGCACACTGACCACCAGGGGCAGCTCCTGTGTTGAGCATCTGCCCCCTGGTGGTCAGTGTGCATCATAGCGACCGGTCGTTTCACTGTTCGGTTGATTTGCATATTAGGGTTTTATTATATAGGATGGGTGGGCAAAAGTAGTGCTACAGTTGTGAGTACACGAAACACAGAGTTTATTCTTGTATTATTATTTATTAGTTATTGTATTATTTTCTAGATGAACAGCTGTAACCCTACTTTTCCCACTGCCATATATATGTATATTGTTTCCCCTCTCTCTGTTCTTTTCTCTTTCCTCTGCCATTACTTCTCACCTTGATTGTGATAATGACCTCTGAACTGTTCTAATAGGGTGACATAGTGAAGGTTACATTGTGGCATTGACCTCATACCACAAGTAGTGAAGTAATCTGTGTAGGTGTCTTCTCCAGGATGATGTTTGTATTCTGGTAAGTTGTATAGCCCTAAAGCACCAACAAAGGTGTGTTGTACTTAGTAGGTAGGTTGTGCAGTATTCATTACAATGAGCTGATAACTTCTGTGTAAGGAGTTTTATTTTTCTTACCCAAGTATATTTGCAGACACTCAGTCTGTTCAAAAAGCAGAAGTACAATATATTTAATATGCAAAGTACCTTATTTTGTGGTGGTTGTTAATCCTCACCTGAGGATATTTTTTCATTTGCTTTTCAGAGAGAGTGGGAGGGAGGGAAAGAGGAGGGAGGGGAAAAGAGAGAGAGAGAAGAGAGAGAGAGAGAGAGAGAGAGAGAGAGAGAGAGAGAGAGAGAGAAAGCATTGATGTGAGAGAGACACCTTGATTGGTTGCCTCCCGCATGCACTCCGACTTGGGACAGGGAGCAAATCCTAAACCCAGGTACATGCCCTTGCCCGGGAATCAAACCCTCAACTGTTTCGTGCGACTCTTCAGTGCATAGTCTGACCCTCCTACCATTGAGCAACACTGGCCAGGGCAGCAAAGTCTCTTTAAAAAGAATCTTTAAGTATAAGACTGACTTACTAAGAATAAATTGAAAATATGTAGCTAGCCCCCTGATTTGCAGCTGACACTATGAGAATAAAGATCTCATTTATTCATTGTGAATTTTAAAAGATATTTTTAATGATATTGTCTGGCTTATCCATTATGTGGTCTATTTATTAGCAGTTCTTCATACACAGATGGCTTTGTTTGAGTGATTCTTTCAAGTTAAGTACCTTGTAAAATAAGTTTACTGACAGCCTACTTTTAATGCCTAAGTGATAGTCTTTAAGTTTCAGGCATTTTAATATTTTGGATGTGATTACAAATTCTGAGACTTTATGATTGATTTAAATACAAAATTATCAACTTGAGAATTCTAATGATTTACTGATTATTGCTTGTTTTCCATTCATATATTTACTAAACTCTTTGCTTGTCATGTAGAAGGAGTCAGGATTAGTTATCTGCAAACAATTAAAGTTGTGAAACATCTCTTTTTTCTTTCTGCTAATTGTGGCTATAAAGGTTATGTGTGGAAGTGGTCATGAGCTTGACAATTAAAAAAATAATTGTCAATTATTTCTAGTCATTAAAGACTTGAAAAGGGGAGGGTTTTCCTTACAATGGATGACAAAATAGAATAAAAGAAGCTTTGACTATTTTTCTTTTAATGGTGGGGTGATATTAAGTGTGGGTTTTTTCTTGCTAGTTTTATTTTGGAGTCATTTACATGTCACTAAGTAGATGCAATAGAACATACATAGCAGAAGTAGACAGATTCACTAAAACATAGCCATTAAATGGCCAAAATATTGCAGGGGAAAGCAATTGTTTTTAAGACACGGTAAGTAAGAAAGAATTATAAAAAGACATCCTTTATAGAATAGAAGTCCATACTCTGGAGAGGACCTAGTTCATCGATTACACTTTTGTCTTCAAATTTGCTGAAGAAAGTAAAACACTTGGGGTTGGAGGGGAGAAAGGATGTGAGTGTGTGTATACATCATAGAGAGGATTCATCAAGATTTTCTAGTCAGTAAATTGCCATATTGGGGAATTTTTAATTACTTGCCTATATTAAGTGGGCCCCTGTTTCCAGGCTGCTGTCACCCCTGGGCCATGTCATGTTCATTAGGGCAGCCGACCCTATACCCTCACCTTACCCCCTGGGAACTTCAAATTCCCTTTCTTCTGCCATCTCCTTCCCATAGGCATGCCCCAGCTTGGGATCTTTTCTACCTTTGACAGATCATTGGGCTCAGCCCTTCCGCTCTTCAGTCACGGCCTGGTGTGCTTCCACATGCCCTCACTCAGTTACTTCTGCTCTGAGTTTTCCTTCTGCATCCAGATTTCCAGCTGCTCCTCTCACCTTATGCAGCTAAGACCAGTCAGTCACTTGAAATCTGCTTCTCCAGCACTCCTAGTCCTTTTGCCCATCTTCTAGCCGTCGGCATACTTGACCAACTCCAGCTCTGGACCAGGCCAGCCACCTGCCTTTCTCTCCCTGCGGCCAGGCCTCTAAGTGCTGCTGGAGAAAATCTGCCACTTTGTAGATTGAGCCACTAGAAATCCAGTCTCTAACCTCAGATCTTTCTCCCTCAGTTCTGGCCATCATATCAAAAGCTTACCTTCCATCCTTTCTGCCTCATTTCTCTCACCAAAAGGAGCCATTGTTCCTGTCTAAGGCAAACCTTATATCTGTGCTCTTAACACCTTCCCAGCTCACCTGCTCAAGGCATCAAGTCACAGTTTAGAGACTCTTTCAGGTATGTATCCTTAGCCCTCCCTGTCTGTTGCCAATTTGCTTGGACCATTTAAGTATTCTCAGGCTTCCTCCACCTGCACCTCTCCCTGAAGCCACTGCTGTATCCTTTCCTTCTCTAGTTGAAATGGTTGAAGTAAATAGGTCACTGTGTTCATTGGTCACCTTCCTGGCATTCCTCACCTAAGGAAGTTAGTTAGCTCCACCCTATCAAGTCGCTAAAATAATCTCTTGACTGATCACTATTAGCTTCCTTGTTGCTTATCCACTGGATATTTTGCATCCTTATCATAGCACTATTTAACATGGTTGACCTCTGCTTCTTAAATGTTATTTAATCCCAGTTTCCATAACTCTCTTTTTTTCCCTTTTCTTCCTTTTATATATTCTCTTTCGCTAGCTAGTCCTGAATCTCACTTTACTGGGGGAGCTCCTCAAGGGTCTCCCCATGCTGCTCTTTTCCTCTGACTGTTCTTCCTCAGCTGTCTTATTTATTCACCCACAAAGTAGTAGTGGCCCTTGAATTCAGAGCCTGTACATACACATTCCTGCACTCTGGTACAGCTTTCAAAAGCACTTTTAGCCTGGCTGGTGTGGCTCAGTGATTGAGCATTGATCCATGAACCAGGAGGTCACCATTCCATTACCACCCAGGGCACATGCCTGGGTTGTGGGCTCGATCCCCAGCAGGGGGCGTGCAGGAGGCAACCGATAGGTGTTTCTTTCTCATCGGTGTTTCTATCTCTTCTTCCCTTCCTCTCTCTCTAAAATCAATAAAAACATTTTTTTTTAAAAAAAAGAGGCCCTTCTAGTTCCTGAAATGGCAGTGCTCTTTGTCTCTTGCAGAGCCTTTGCATATGCCTTTCCTCTGCCTGGAACAGTTTACCTTGCTAATTCTCGTTCTTCTCCTAGTCACATCTTAGGCAACCTTTTTGAGAATAAATTCTCTGATTTCCCCTTTTCCCAGGTTCAAGGTAGCTGCCTAGAATCTTCTTGGTCCTCCAGTGGCTCCTGTACTTCCCCCTTTCATAGCACTTTGTGTGATTATACTGTAATTAAATCCATTGTTCTCTAATAACCTGTTTACTTATCTGTTGCCAAGTAACCATCAAGTTTTAGAAGGGGCAAGACTGCATTCATTTCAGTCATTTGTATCTCTTAGTACACAGTAAGTGCCTAGTTTAGCATATAGAAAGGACCTAATATTTCTTATATGAAGAGAGGAGCTATACTATTTAGAAGGTTCATGAATTGGAAACTGATGATCGGGTTTATGTATTGTGTGAACCATGTGATACACCATCAATTTAGCACACACTTAGTTTTCTCATTTGTCCTTTGTATTATTTTTTTCTATGTGGTATACCTTCCCAGTGAGATTAGAAGCCCCTTCTGAGCGAGAACTGTGTGTGATTCTTGGTGTATCCCTCAGGGTGCCTTGTATGTAGTCAGACTTTATTTCAGGAGCCTAATCCCAGATATATGTGATGGAACTAAGTCTCATCTATAATCCATCCTTGTCTTCCCCAGCTGGTCCTGTCTCTGTGCCATGCACAAACCATGCCACTCTGGAGGGGCAATTTCCCTGTGGTTTCCTAGCTCTTGTGTTCCAGTATACTGGCCAAGTATGAGAGAGTCAGTGGTATGAGAGTCTTTTTTGTTCAAACTTCATAGGTTTGGTAGTTAGGACTGACCAATGCTAACAGGAAATAGAGGCATTTATTTAAAGCCAGAGAGTTGTAAACTTGCAGGAAGCAAAAGCTCTTGTTAGCATATGATTTTGTGGTTGGTTTGGTGGTCCTCTCTAAAAGTGAAGAACCAGACAAGAATGGGAGGAGCATGTTTGGGCTCTAAAGGTAGTCCTTTTTCCTAATTTGCCTTTAGAGTTTCATTTGTTTGTAATTTCCTAAGATTTTGAAAAAAGTTGCCAAAAAGCTCACAGGAAAAAAAAAAAAATCTGGCCAGGTGAATCATTTGCATCTGAAACGAAACGTTTGTTTTTAACTTTTTTCCTTAACATATTATCCTTGATACAGCCCTAAAGATTATTCAATTATTTGTGGATTTCAACTTTTCCCTTATCTTCTGGATCTTATGAAATGAGTGCTTTTTGAATGGAGAAGAGGAGGAGAAGAAAAAAATAAATGTAAAAACCTTGTTCTTGCCTTGGCAAGCTTGGCCTTACGTGTTGGAGTGGAATGACATGTCTGGTCTGGTGAAGAAGGGATATTTAGGGTTGGTTTGGCTTCTTATTCTATTTGATTTTTCTTTTTAGGTTTGTCTTTTAAACTGGAATTTTTATGTGAATGTATCTGAATTTAGAATAAAAGTACTTAGCATCACAATTTGCAGAGCACTTTTCTGTTACTTATTTTAAAGACAAATCATTGTGGTAAATGACTTGGGGCAAAGATTGTTTTTCAAAAGAACTGAGACCTAGCATGATGAAGTGGTCCCAGGGCAGACCTGCTACTGGAAGGGATCCTTTTCTTCCTGGTCCAGTGTGCTTTCCTCCAGATGTGCTGCTTTCCTGATGTCCTGGGATCGCCTTTCATCAGGGTAACTGAGTTTATTAAGCGGAATAGACATTTTATGTCAGAGCAATGGTTCTGAATCCTCAGTGTTACTTACTGAGATCATTTAAACATAAAAATGCCTTTTAACAAGATTGAAGGCCAGAGGTAGGAGCAGTTGAGAACGAAGTAGAAATAAAGCTTGAAAGATAGGGTTGTCGGCCAGTCTTAGAAAAGATGTTGAAGAAAGTGTGGGAAGCCATAAGCATTTGTATTCCAGTGTGTTGGGTTCAGACATATGTGTTGTAGTCTGTTACTGAGCTCCCACCCACAATCATACTCTAGTCTTGTTTTCCCCCTTCCTTACTTTCTCTCCTTACTACCCGTCCCCCATGGTTACCACAACCACCACTAGCAATTACCCACATGCTGGATCTTGGGGCTACTTCCCAATAAGGACACGGGGTATGTGGTGTTGGCTATAGACATGGTAAACAAACTCTGTGGCTTCCCTCCCTGTGTACCTCATGACATTTGACAGACTGCAAGCCAGCAGTAAACTGCTTCTGCTGTCTAATCTATCTGTAGTTCATTTCTATCTCTGTATTTAATGGTACATCTATCCTCTTCCAATGCCAGTGAAGAGGATGGATGATAGAATCATATGCTTAAGCAAGTTGGGAGGGATGTTAATAACAGCTGAAAAAGTAACTATAATATCCTGTAAAATTGACACGGTCAGTTTGTGGCAAAATTTTTGTGTTTGTAAGTTTTGTTTTTTTAATATCCCCATATAGTTCTTTTAAATCCATAGGCTTTGGGTAAAAGCCATGGTTAGTCTTATGTGTCATAGAGTGCCTGGCTTGTGATGCTCTAAGATTATTATTTAAGAGTATCTCCTTAAATCTTATTTGGGTCAGTTCACAGGAACAATGTTGAGATGGACTTTTCTGACTGGCATGGAGTCAAAATGGTAACCAAGCATGAGAGTTCAGACAGTCCCTAGTACACAAATGTGTCTCCTTCAGAAGTTTGAAAGTTGGTTTATCTGAGATGCTGAACATATTTTTCTATAGAATCAGTGTTATGAATTGTAGTTAAGTTCCAAGCTCGCCTATGGACATACTTAATATGCAGTATACCTGAAGTATTCCTATTAAGATAATAGGAAATTTTCCCATAGAATTACTATATATGATAATGATTACTACATATAATATTAACATTACATATAGTGGTGATTTTATGAATTTTGGGTTCCATAGGGCGGGGGGTGGTTATTGACTCCCATGGATTGTGGAGGGAGGATAGATTCCAGGATGCTGGGGGTAGATCAGAGCCGTGAGGAATACGATTAGGCTGGAGTTTCTGGGGCTGGAGAGCATTGACAGCTCCCAGGGACACTTCTTGGGCTGGCTCTCTCTTCATTACCGTCTTTTGTTTTTTTCCTTGGTTACCTTTTTTTTTTTCTTCTTTTTGCCAAGGTTTTTGCCTCTTGTCTACAACTGAAGATCCTATCAGTCTCCTGTTTTTGAATTAAATATATAATCTTTTAGAGGTTTTCTAAATTAAGTGTTGTGGCAGAGTTAGTTACCACATGTTAATTTTGCAGTGAGGAAATACAGAATTCCAGGTGACTAATCTTTATAAACTGTGCATATATTTCAGTCGTATTCTCCTTTACTGTGTATCACATTGCAGAAAATAACAGCTTTTATGATTAACATTGCCTTCCTTGGTGATATTTCTTATTTAAGGTTAGTTTTCAGATGAGACCTTTTCATGACAGTACATGAAACCATACGGTGTGCTTCCTTCCTATTTAAACCCTCTAAAACTGTCCACTGCAGTATTTCTTCTGCCAGGAGACTGGATAAACCTGTGGGTTGGTCATCTCTGTGGTTTCTTATGGCTCAATTCATGCTTCGCATGGTAAAATAGCTTGGCAACGTAAGGTAGTCATAACACACAGGACCTAGGAGGGCTCTGAACAGCCCCGCAGGGCTTGGCTGTGGCAGCTCTGTGAAAAAAATTACAATTTGTCTCTGGGACTCTTCTCTCCTATAAATATCCCATCCCTCTCCTTGAACCCCCAGGCCCTCAACCAAACACTGCTGAGATGCTGGGGCATTGGGCTTTTAGCTGGTGAAGGTAGCAGGTCTGGAGTATTCCCTTTAGTAGCTTGTGCTTTTAAACCAGCTTGTGGAGAGCTGCAGAGCTGGAAGCTCCGTGCTTGTTCCTATAGAGTTTTTGTCCCTGATTTGTCAGCTGCTCTTTCACTTCTCAGCAGAAAGGAGCACCCACGTACACCCATGCACACCCACCCACGCCCACCCAGAAAGGAAGGTTTGATGTACCACTTCTGAAAGGTTCAGTCTGGCGTCATTGTAACCAAGAAGATGGGTCAGGTGGGGCTGGAGGTAAAACTTGGCTGTGTCCCAGAACTACAGATTGTTCCACAAGTGCATTCTGGCATAGTATGATGGAAGTTTCTGGCATATTTTCCCGTAATAGTTATGGACACAGAAGGTCAGGGTGTTGCCTTGCCATAGAAGCTGTCATATGAAACAGCACTTTCTGTTTTTATTTTATTTTTTTAATTACTTCTTGTTAGAATTTTTATTTGTATGATTTAAACAAGATTTCAAAAGAGAGTTTGTAAATGGCAATTCTGAACAGTTTTCATACTCTTAATATTTCTCTTTTTTTTACTTTATTTTTATTGTTGTACTTTCTGCTTTTAGCAAATTTTACTCAAATGACACTTTAGATTGTCTCTCTAATTTACTGGCAGCTCTTCTGAAAAATATTTTTGCCAGGAAATCACTCAAACACTTAAGTCATTTTTAACCTCTGCAAATATGCTACATTTTAAAAAAATATGTCAGAAATGGGTTACTCATAAAATTTTATATATTTCCTAATGCATTCTTTTTAAATAAAAATAAGTTTTTACAGACTTTCTCATGCTTTTATTTAGAGGATGTGTTTTGTAATGTAGAGCACTGCTTCATCTTGTCCTGTGAGCTTGATTTTTTAAAACACTAAGCATTTATTTTTGTATTTAGAAATAGATTGAATAATTACAAAATCAGTGGACACTTATGTTTACAAAGCTACATATGTCTGTTCTTAGTTGCACTAACTCATAACCTAAAGTAACCTTCAACTCTTTAATTTACTCTTACATATGATTGATTGCCGAGTTCTGCAACTTTATACTTAAAACACAAATCTGAACCTCCTTCTTTTCTTACCCTCTTCCCTTTGTCCTTTTTAAAAAATATATATTTTTATTGATTTCAGAGAGGAAGGGAGAGGGAGAGAGAGATAGAAACATCAATGATGAGAGAGAATCATTGATTGGCTGCCTCCTTCACACCCCCTATTGGGGATCGAGCACGCAACCTGGGCATGTGCCCCTGACCGGAATTGAACCCGGACCATTCAGTCCGCAGGCTGACATTCTATCCACTGAACCAAACCGGCCAGGGCCCTTGTGTTTTTCAGGCCCCTCTCATCTCTGGCCTTTTATAGTCACCTTCAGCGTCTTCATTTCCATCCTGTCTCTAGCTGGTGAAGAAGTGAAGTCACTGTCCTACTTGAGAATTTCAATGGCGCTGCATTGCTAAGGGTATACTAGTAGTCTCCAGATGCCTTGGCCTCACCTAACACAAGTGCTTAAAAGCAGGTCTGGATAAAGTTGTTCCCTCAACTCTCCAGGTCCAGCTGCCCCAGCCAGCCTGCCCTAAACTCCCACACCTTCATCACATACTCCAGTCTAGGTCCATATTGATGCTGTATCCCGCTGAGCCACCACCATTCACCATCCTTTCAGCTCACAGTTCCCTGCCTCAGTGAAATACATGCCTCTTCACACTGAGCCAACATTTCTATTAAATTTCCTTGTTTGTTTTTAAATTTCTTTGTTTTTGAACTATGGAAATATTAATGTGCTTTCTTTATTGATTCTGTGAACACATTAACTTTTCCCTAACTCACCTGAAGAATCCATCTGCCCTAGGGCTAGAAAATTAGGAATTGGTTACAGAAAGCCACTAGAAAGAACATATTCATCTGCTGACATGCTATTCTTTTTAAAATACTTAATAGCAGTTTATATAAATTAACATTTTTATTCTAGTGATTATTTATTTCTTCTCAGCTAGAATGTGAACCCTCTAGGAATTTGCAATCTTGTCTTTCACATCTTTGTATTCTCAGCACCCAAGGTACCATCGTGCTTTGCATCTCCTTGTGGAATCAGATCATGCACAGATTTAACCTTCCTTAGCTAAACTATATGTACTGCTCTTCTCCCCAAAGAGAAAAAAAGAGAAATCCCTTGAAATACTACATTATCCTCTCAAGCCACACCTTGATATCCTCTATAGAGAAAGGGAGGCTAAATTTAGAAGAGAAACAAAAGAGATTAAGATCTGGGCTTTAAAATAACTAAGGCTTTCGTCCTGGCATTTAAGGTATTCTTTCCAAGGTTAATTTTAATTATATGCAATTTTGCCTCATTAACTACAGAATTACTGTGTAAGATGGGGTTCCTCTGTAAACCCTTCAGAAATGTTTGTGGAATTAAACCACAGAAGGACTCGGCACTTGAGAATAGTCTACCTAACAATTATTCTTGAGCAGTAGAGTCCTAATTTTCTCTGTAATCCATTATGATGGTCAACTATAAATTATGTTGGCACTTAATTCATTAAAACATGATTAGGTGACTGCACTTGCCTTAGCAGTGTGCTAGGCACTGACAAATTCAGGGATGATCAAGAGCACATACCTGTGGTCCCTTTTATAGACAGGAGGAAGACAACAT